GAGTGTAAACTAGTGAGTTTGTAAGTTTTATTTTCAGTTCAAATCCTCACAAAACTATGTAGTTATATACAGTACTTAAATTTATTAGACCACCTGTTTAAAACTAAAAATTGTATTGTCATTTATAGGCAAATAACAAACAGAAACAACTATAGACTTTATTCACACATAATAACCAAAAAAACTTGCATGGCCTGCTTTGGCCTTGATAACAGCTTGCATTCTTGCTGGCATTGTTTTTATGCACTTTTCCACAGTCTCTGTTGTTATTGACTTCCAAATAGTTTCTAGTTGTTCCCAAATATTTGCTTTTGGTGTTTCTAATGCTAATATTTTAGCATTAGAAACACTATGTGATTAAAGGGCACTCTAGGTGTCATTGCCCAGGAGGACCAAAGAGTCTTAATCCGCCACTGCCCTGACCCTGTCATGTGATCCTGCCATGTGGTCCTTTTGTTTTAGTGGCTTGTTCTCATTGGTTCCTTTGTTGCATGTGTCACAGTCTCATTGGTTGGATTGTATCTTGTGACCCCTTTGTTTGATATAAATAGCCCTCATGTTTCATTGTCCCTGGTCTAGCTTTGTTTGTGTACCACTGTTGGTGAGTTTATGTCCATGTAGTGCCAGTAGTGGGCACTCATGCAATGTAATCAATGATGTACAACCAAGCAAACGAGACGGAGGGAAGTAAGCAAGTGAAGGGCATAAAAAATGAACTGGAATGCAGCCCACAGCCTCGTCATGTCATGGCTGCCACTTCAGAGCCTCGACCCATCATGGCTGCCACGCCAGAGCCTCCAGCCCTCTTGAACGCCAAGGGTGATTCCTAGGCATATGAGACTGGCTTCCAGTTTGGAGGACATACTGCTTGTATCTGTGCAAGCAGCTAGCATCTCTGCGGTGGTGCCCAGTCTGAGGGTCTCTGAGGTGGTCCCACTGTCAGTCGCACTCCCTGTTATGGCGATGGCCATTATGTGTTTTTGGGCTGCACACAGCTTTCCAGTCTATGAATCCACTCCAGAGCCCGCTCAAGCCCTAGAGCTCAGACCTGTGTTGGCGCCAACCTGTGAGTTTCCTGTCTGTCCTGTTGTGACCACAGTGGTTACACGTAAACCCTCTGCCAGTACTGTCACGGCTAAAAAGGCTGTCCCTGAAATCTCTGCCTGTCATGGCCAAGGAGGTTGTCCCTGAACCCCATGAACAGGTAAAGCCTGTCAGCTGTGTGGACATTAACAATTCGTACAATCGATACTAATATGGCTTCTTCTTGTTATCAAGGTCTTTAGTCTATAGGCTAGGCTATATGCTGTTCTGTTAATGCGTTACCTCATATTATTTGTAGTTTGCTTAATCGCAATAAGCTTTGTGCTCTGTTACCTTTTAATAAACAAAGTATCAGCTTTAAAATTCTGCCAAATTCATAACGAAATTCAAACAATTAGTAGCTTACCGTTTTGGCGCTATTTAATGCGGCATAAGCGATCGCTTTAGCGCCTCTGTTCAAGTGGCACGTGAACCCGTCATATCTTTCTCTTTACTATTATACGAAATACACATGAATGGACATAAGATACAGTACAACTTACTGAAATGTCTCATTGTAATCGCTCATTCAGTGTTTCAAACTGCGGGAAACGTTTAAAGCTTGTAAAGAATTCCACGTAACAATACATTTACCTCAGAATAACCATTCAGCATCCATAAGCTCATAAAGAAAAAAAAACCTATAAAGAATTGCTTTTAGATAAATATATGCGCTATATTGCATATTCA